TTTGCTTCTTATCAAACTGTCTGTACTTGGCTATCTTGATTATCACTTCAAAAGTTTTTTTTCTCTTACTTAATTGGCCTCTCAGAGTTGGTAAGACAACTCCCACCTGTTCATGCTCTCTGTATGTGTGTATATATATCTCCTCAATATATGTTTCACTCAATATGCATCCGAAGAAGTGGGTTGTAGCCCACGAAAGCTTATGCTCTAATAAATTTGTTAGTCTCTAAGGTGCCAAAAGTACTCCTGTTCTTTTTGCAGATACAGACTAACACGGCTGCTACTCTGAAACTTGAAAAACCTTGCGCAGGCTGCTTTGTGCGAAGCAACAAGCAGCTGCACGCAGCCCTTATTTCCTCACCTTGGCCTAGGATAACCTTATTGTTCTCAAACGGTTAGTTTATTTACTTTAGATGTTGGAGTGAATTTGCTTTGTAAAAGGAAACAAAGCAGAGGACCACAAAACGAAGCTTTTCCCACCAACTACACTATCCGCGAATGATACTGCCAACTACTAATATTCATCCCTATGACTGCCTGAAAAACTGTTTGTTTTACTTTGGTATCTTTGGCGGGAGCTCATGTCTTTATTTCTACAGAAAGCGGGGGGAAAATCAAGCTTTCCTCTTACAATGTGCTAATGGATAACTAACTTCCTCACTGGATTTTAAGCAGTTTTATTTACCTTCAGCCCTCTCAGCCACGTGGAAGAAATAGCATTGCCAGGGGTATGAGGTGATGATCCATACATTGGGCTATAAACCGTAAGGGGTAAAACTTAGGGTGGCAGGTTGTTGGAGAGACAAGGAATCTCTTCCTCCCCCCAAAACTCCCTTCTGCTTGTTGTAAATGACACAGACATAACTTATCTATTCCCCAACGCAGGGGTAGTCAAGAGGGAGACCCTGAGCCAAACCTAGACGCTTTTGATCACACCCCAGAATCTTCATTTACTTTTTTTTTTTTTTTTACTATTTTCTCAGAAGTCTGGACCTTGACCAAGAAACTTGGCCCTTGACAAAAAACAAGGACGACGGCGCCCTAACGTGCCACACCCCAAGCCTGCTGCAGAGAGTACCACATTCCCGCCCCCCCACCACTGCTGCAGGGGGCGGAGCCTGCCCTCCACCCCCAGGAAGCGCCTTGGGGCAGGAACCAGGGGCGGGTTCCGTCTGTACAGCACCGGGCCCTGGGCCAGGAGCGGGGCCCGCGTGACGCTCGCGCTCTCCCCCGCGCTGGGGGGCTGCTGGGTGTAAACATCCGGGTTCCCTCACAGCAGGGCCCACCACCCCGCTCGCGCCACAGTGCCCGTCATACAGGCCACACGGCGCATGCCCACCTCTCTCCCCAAGAGAAAGGCGCTCTCAGTCCTGGGGACAAGGTGCCTAGCGCGTCACGTGATTGCCTATCCCGGCCGGTATCGACCGCCCATCGCATCATGGGGCTCGACGCTCTGCTGCCTCTGTCTGGTCCCCCTTTGAATCTTTAGGTGTAGCTAGTAGAGCGCCGAGTGACCGATCCATTTCGTTCCCCTCCCCCTCCCCTTCGCTAATCACCCCAGGCAGCGAAGGGATGCTGCTGCCCCCTCCCGCGGCCGGGCAGCCTGGTGAGGAGCCTGCACAGTGTGTCCGCTATCTCTGGGCTCGGGGAGCACCTGGGGAGCCGGGTCAGTGCTGCCACGGGGCGAGAGGGATCCTGCAGCCACGTTACTACCTTGTGACTATGGGGGCGGACCCTGTGGGGCCGAGGGGTCCGTGTCGCTATGAGGGTGGGCTCTATGGGGGTGAAGGGTCCGTGTTGCTATGGGGGGACCCTATGGGGGTGAGGGGTCCGTCTCGCTATGGGGGGGG